ATATATATATATATATATATATATATATATACACACACACACACACACTGCCTGTCCAAAAAAAGTCAGACACTCTAATATTCCATAGGTCCGCCTTCAGCTTTGATTACATTGCATGCATTCCCTGTTTCGATAAGCTTATATCTGTCACCACATTTATTTCCAACCAGAGATCCATTAATTCTTCACAAGATCTTGTAGTGATGATGGGAGAGTCGGACTACTGTGTAAAGTCTTCTCCAGCACATCCCAAAGTTTCTCAATGCGTTAAGGTCTGGACTCTGTGGTTGCCAATCTATGTGTGACAATGATGTCTCATGCGCCCTGAACCACTCTTTCACAATCTGAGCCTGATGAATCTTGGCATTGTCATTTTGGAATATGCCTAATGTGCCATCAGGGAAGAAAAAAATCAATTGATGGAAAAACCTGGACATTCGGTATATTCAGGTAGGCAGCTGACCTCAATGTTTTGGGCACATAATGTTGATGAACCGAGACCTATTATCCAATGGAGCCTCTGACCTATTTGCTTAGCCAGGGGTAGTGACTTTTTTTTGGCCATGCAGTATATATTTATGTTATGGATATTTATTGTATGTGCACACAATGGCTTGTTGGAAAATGCCATTTCAAAACCATGGTGGCCTTTATATATAGTTGCCTTTGGTTGCCCCTCTTCTTGCAGCTAAAACTGCCTCCACTCTTTGTTACCACAGTTTGGGGAAGGTCTTTTTTTGTTCTATCATATCTGTGCCCCAATGCACAAAGCCAACTCTATGCAGACATGGTTGATCAGTTTTTTTAAGGTGGAATTCCATTGGCTTGAACAAAGTCCTGACCTCAACCTTCCTGAACACCTCTGGGTTTAATTTTAGCTCCAATGGCGAACCAGGTCTTCTCATCCAACATTATTATCTGACCTCAGAAATGTTTTTTTGGTTGAATGTGCACACGTTCCAACAGAATCAATCCAAAATGTTGTTGAAAGCCTACTTAGATGGGTGGAGGCTATTATGGGTGGAAAAACTCAAGACTTTTGGAATGAGATGTCCAACAAGCTTATATAGATATGGTCTGGTGTCCACAAACTTTGTCATTTAGTGTAACACAATTTGGCTTACTTGATTAACATGGAAAGGTTACTTTTAATAAGATCACATTACAAAACCGCTGGTATGTTTATGTTCTTTCATTTTGGTGGTGTTTTTCTTTTAGGTAAGCAGGTATATGTAACATTTTCTTATGTGCCGGTAAGTAAAACTGACCAGTCTGCCCTTCCATTCTGAAGCAGTAGGTCCTTTGAACTTTAAAAAGCCTTTCACTAAGCCACAGAAATCTGTCTGGATGAGCTCCGGGGTCTGCCTGAAATTCCTCCTCGGTTCCTCTGCGAAGAACCTGCAGCCCCCATTGAAGTGTCAGCAGTGTTTTCATCTTGAGAAAGCCTTTGCTTTGTATTCCGCACAATTCTCCTCGGCAGCTTTTAGACAAAGCCGTTGCCTCAGCAGTGTCATGATTAGGTCTTCTGAGCTTTAACATATTTATTACAGATCCGTGTTAAAGAACCCTCTACGCCAGCAGAAAAGAAAAAAAATTGCCAAAGACGGATTTCAAGGTCTCGGGAAGGCGGTTATGTGATGGCTCCACTGCTGGCGTCAGGTGAAAGAGTTTACAACGCTGCCCCGGGGACCAATTAGGGGGCAAATCATTGCTCATTAATATCAGTGGTAAGTCTTCGAACCCTTGGGGTAAGTCAATGGACGCAGCATGCAAGCAGATCGTGTAGTGATAGAGGCGGCCTTGTTATGGAAATGTGACCAAGTAATACCCTGCACAATCAATTTATGATGAGTATAAAATAAAAAGGACAACAGCATTTCTAAATAAGTGAACAACACTGATTTCCAAGGGCTCAACTTTGCAGGTTACAGTTACAACAAAAGACGACCTCATTTGAAGGACAACTCCAGCAAAACAGCTGTAAACACAGATCAAACACATTTACATGGAAATGTAATGCTTTTTCTATGGTGATCTAATGGTGACTAGACTTGGTGACTTTGTGGTGCTGCCCTTCCTCCTGCTTATTTATGCATACCACGTACCTAAGCTCTACCGTTCCAGATAGACACAAGGCTGCCATGACTGACCATAGGCTGGTGTCACAACATCCTCTCATTCAGGATCTCATGCAGGATCTGGCCTCCTGACAGATGGGGAGGGTATCATGAAGATGTTGGGGGATGTAGGGAAGAGTGAGGAAGAACCACAAAGTGGGCAGGGGGTGAGAACAGCGGTGAATAGGTGTAGGACAGTGTGGGCAACTCTGACTCTCCAGCTGTCGGGAACTACAAGTCCCATGAGGCATTGCAAGACTAACAATTACAGGCATAACTCTCAGAGGCAAGGGCATGTTGGGATTTGCAGTTAAAGCACAGCTGGAGAGCCGGAGTTGCCCACCCGTGGTCTAGGAGGAGAAGCAAATGTCAATGGTACCGGTCCTCTAAGCAATTGCTCAACCTTTGGCCCTCCAATGGGAGTGAAGACTGCCAGTGGGAAGAACACACCACCACACTTGCAAACAGTGCACAAGATGGTGGTACCACAGCATCAAGTTAATGACATCAAAGCAATCTGTGCCATTGGGTTGACCTAGTGTATGACAGAATTATCTAGATGGGCAGGTTCACCATTCTTTTCTACATTTTTTTTACTGTAGTGTTTCTCTGGTTCTTGAAGCGCAAGCATCAGCAAGTTTGCTGTTTTAATTGTCAGTGCTATTATGCTCAGTGATGTGTCAGTGTAACACTTTCAGGTATTTTTTACCTCTCAAAGAGATCAGAGTACTTCCCCTGATTATGCCTTTCTCTCCAGTAGGATGGCACAGTCTTTGTTCAAGAGTCATCCAGGGTCACCATCTACTTCCTGGACTGAGAACAGCAACAGAACAAAATCAGGTCTCATGGCCATTCAGATAGGGTGGTGCTGTATGGCAGAGTTGTGTAAATCTCAGGACTTGATAGATAGAAATACAAATCCTCTGGCAGGAAAAACACATATATATATATATATATACACACGTATATATATGTATATATATATATACATACATACATACATACATACATATATCATCTGTGTATTTAGCCTGCAGTTCTGCTTTAAAGAAGAACTCCGGGCACAAATTTTATTAATCATTGCAGTGGGGCTACCTCCACACTGCAAGGGTTAACTGCTTGTTTTTGCTAGCTTAAAAAAAAAAAGTTATACTCACTCACCTGATCCTCGGAGCCGGCATTGCTTCGTCCAGCCTCTCACCTTCTACTCTGCAGCGATTGTATGTCCCTCGGCATCTTCACATCCTATACACTCTATTGGATGTGATCACTCAAGGATTCCTAGGCTGCTGCATTGGAAAGGGAGAAAGGCTCCAGGGACCAGTCTAAGAAGGTCGGGTGAGTTTCACTTTTTTTATTTTTGACCCTAAGCAAAAACAAGTTAACCCTTGCAGTATAGGGGTATCCCCACTGCAAGGGTTAGTAACATTTCTGCCTGGAGTTCTTCTCTACCAATGTCATTTGAGGAAGTCACCATACCGTAGTGGCCAAAAAAGGCAAATGAGCCTCTGACCAAGAAGCAAGGAACCCGCCAGCTGTAACGATATCTCTAAAACCAAATGAAATGATTGTTTAGTGAACACTAACAGGATGCGGAGAGGATCATAAGCCGGTACTTCCACCGTGCCTCTGGGCAGCCAAAAACAAGACTACACAGATAAGACATCTGCTCGTTTCTACAAATACAATCTAAATGAAACATCTTTGCAAATATTAAAATGAAAAAAAATGATATTACATTTGCGAAGATGTTTATTTTCATACAAAAGGAGCCATTGTCTCACCTCCCATCCCGGCTGCTTTATGATCACTGATACGGCAATAAACCCCAAAAATGACAGGGAAATCTGAAGCTTATCTGCCATTGTAAATAGGAATTAAACATCGCTCAATCACAAGAGAGCAAAGCAAGCCAAGCGCCTCTCCGCCTGGAATCACCGCAACATATCGGATACATACAGGGCGGCTGACATAGAAAAAAAAAACGTACACACATTAAAAGGATCACAATAAAAAATGTAATTTAAAGCCAACAAAGAAAATTGCATCTGAGTAGATGACTTTCTCTTTATTAACCTGAATGTCTCTCTGTTTACCATACCAATTCCTCCCCCCGCTGACTTTATCTCTCTTCTCTGTGCTATCGTCTCTGACAGCCAGAAATCTTTGCATGCACAATGTATTGTATAGTCCCGCGGACCTGCTTTCATAAATATACATGCTGGGATTTCAGAGCTTTCCCATTTTGGGGGTTAAAACTAAACTCTGGGTGTCCCCTCCGTCTTGCACTATTGTACCGGCTCTTCTCCTGGATGGAATGTTCTTACTCTGATTTCACTGCACACTGTGAGATTGTGAGAAGCTGCAGCAAGTCAGATAGATTCCACCATATTTCCTGGTTGGAGAATGTCTAGCATCATCTAGATTCTCCTCCCCAGCATGACTGTCTCTGGCCCATCCATATTTTATTGATTGGATTTTAACTCTTAAGTTTACCAGCATTTTATTACATTAGGACAGAGCTGGACAAAATCCCAGGATCCAGGTAGCCAATGCTCCATTAAAAATTACAGCTGACACCTAACTTTTGAAGTTGTCTCTTCTGCCGCCTCCCAGATTGGACAGATTGGCCCCTGAGTTCCGTATCAATTTGTCCACCCCTGAATTAGGACTACAGTTCTTTTAATCATGGTGGCTTAGCATCATATGCAGGCATTACCTGGGGCAGTCTGCATACAAATACAGCCTACCTAGCAATGCCCACTCCTCTAGACTAGTAACAGGTAAAGAAATCACCAGCACTCCTGAGTTCCAAGAATGTCAGACCTTGTTTATTGACATCCAATCAGGTCTCACAATGCATAGCATCGTTTCAGAGCACACAGCGGTTCCTTCTTCAGGCAAACAAAGTGACTTTGTTTGCCTGAAGAAGGAACCGTTGTGCATTCCGAAATGTTTCTATGCATTGTGAGACCTGATTGGATGTCAATAAACAAGGTCTGACATTCTTGGAACTCAGGAGTGCTGGTGATTGCTTTACCTATTACTGATCTGCTGGCAGTCACTGCAGCTCCCCCCATCCATCCCTTGGATCCTGTCCAGTTAGGAGTGCGATAGGTTATGGACTCACCACTCTAGACTGACACCCACCCTCCCATTAAAGTATTAAGGGTTAAAAACAGGGGTTTAGGACGAAGCAGTGCGGCTTTCACATAATTTGCAAAAGTTGTGCAACTAAAACCTCTGTTTTTAACCCTAGTAGTTAGACTCCATTTTTTTGCAGGCTGGCTGGTGAGTGTGCTGGGAAATTTTTGTTTAATACTTTGTAAAGTTGTTCCATGTGCACCTTTCTATAAAGCTAGTTATGAATTGACGAGTGCATTTGCCATTTGTTTTACTTGTTCCACAAACACAAAGACATAGCAAGGCAAGACACTCCCCTGCACCATTCTCTCCCGCCTTCCTTCATCCCTTCTCCAAGCTAGTAAATGGATGGCTGATGCATACTATGCTGTCCCTTGTGACCTTGTACTGGACAGGAAGTTCAGGTAGGCTGAGCTGAGAGACTTGTGGCCAGCTCTTTAGAAGTCAGCATCTGTCTACAGGCCCTGCTCTAAATAATGTCAAAATTGTAAAGAATTGCCAACCAGGGTCATCAGCTCAGCATATCTTTGGCCCAGGAGAGAAATATCCCCCCAGCCCTGTCCTTCACTTGCAACATCTAACAATGAGCAACATACAATATGGGACTACATTAGTTGACAAGACTCTATCAATACTTCTCATACGTTCCTTACCTGTGAAATAAGACAGACTTCACCAGGGTGACAACATCACGACTGGCGTTGTAGCCAGCGCACACAATGGCGACGTGGATTGTCTGTAAAGAAACAAAATAATTGGCGTTATAGTGAATGATAACAAAAAATACTCAACTGCCTGGAACAGAAATAAAAATTGCAGAAAGAAAACATATTTTACTGTGGTTTTCATCTTATTTCTATACCCTACATCGGGAAATAGTCCACCCTTTCCTGCACCTATTGGCCCATCACTATGAAGGTGTAAGTTGAGGGAAAAGCTGCACCAGCTCTCTATACTACCTAGAAGGGAGAACACATCTAAAAGGAGTGCACTGTTGTCTGTCTACTGCTAGTACTGACAAGTGTATCTAGAAGTGGGCATTCATGTAGTTACATATTCATAGCAGGCAGTAAATGGGCTTTAAAACAAAACCTCAATTACCTCTGTAGCTGTAGGTGCAGTGGAACAAATCATCATCAAAAGTCACAGCAGAAGCACTAAACTAGTGCTAGTTCTGTACAAGCTTAACTCCCCCTGCTCCCCCTTACATAGCACTACGCTCTCCTTACTACCACCTACTAGAACACCTGCACTGTGTGTATGTTAGAGGTTAGAAGGTTCCTGACTTACTGCTAAAGGGAGATGTCAGGGGAGCTAAATTGCTGATCACTGTTGATAGGAAAGGGAGCAGTGGGAAGCTGAGTTGCTGTCCACTGCACGGAAGGTGAAAAGAGCTGCTTAGCGAAGTTCTTCAGGACGTCTGCTGTGAACTTTGAGGAAAAATTGCTCTAAACTGCATGCAGCTACAGAAGTCATTCGTTTTTAAGCAAATAGAAATACTTGACTGTCTACAGCCTGGCCACAGGTTCACTTTAAGGACTAGTTTACAGAGGCTTCAGCTTGTAAATGCTAGTCTGAAGATCACCATTTACAGCAACCATTTACAAAGCACTTACAAAGCTTTCAGCAAGCTTCCAGCAGCTTTCTTGAAGCCTTTCAGCTTCCGTCCAACAGTGCTGAATGCAGATCTAAATAGGCATGCTGGCTATAGCTAGAGCAAACCGTTAGCAGGCTTTCAGCAAGCTTAACATCAATGACGATTGAGAATAACAGCACACAAGGCTGCCCAACAACAAATTAACTTACTATACTAAATTTAACTCCTGGTAAAGCTAAATGCTTGTGCAGGCACTTGCAGGTTTCAAATGGACATACAGCCTCAAAGTAAGCAGCGGACAATGAAAGGGGTGGTTAACAAGGGTTTTAAAAGATGCAAACAAATGTCCACACTGCCACCAATCCCCAGCAGGACAAGTAATAAGCTATTGGTGAATAAGGTTGCTAAGTTCCACTACCCCATTTGTCTCTAGCCCTTCTCTTGGTCAATAAGTCATTGCCACTGCCTCAATCCATCAAGAGACAGCCCACATTGCAGACGTTTTATAAATCAATGAGAAGGGTCAGTGGGGCAATAGTGGTCCTACCACCCCCACATTGGCTACAGTCACCAAGACTGATGGGAAATCCCAAATTTTTGAGCTGCCACCAGTCACCAGAACAAGAGGTTCAATGGAAACACCTGTTCAGACGACAAGTGTTTGTAGAGATTTTCTTTTGTGCTTTCTATTGAGTCATCAAAACAGGAAGTGAAGGGAAAGCTCCCCAACAAGGGCACAGATGATTAGCTGACTGCCAATTGAATCCTTCTTTTCATCTCTATAGCTTTACATGGGAAGAGCCCAGCTATCTCTGTCCATGCTACTAAGCCATTTATCCTGTTGTTTTCAATCACATAATCTAATAAATACATTGATTAGGTTATACAGTTTAACGCAAACGTCTAATTACATTTTTTTCTTTTGGATAGAGTGGCGTTAGACTCCCTGATTTTTATTGATGTCTGTGTCCCTGCTGGAGACATTCACCCTCTTTATTTGTCCTTGTCACTGAGACAGGAATGGGAAATCCAAAAGTAAGTGTTGTCACCAGAGCAAGAAGTAAGGAAAAATCCTCCCGCTGGGACAACTCTTGAAGATGAGACTTCCCTCACTTTAAATAAATTTCCTCTTGTGCCTCTTGGACAGGAAGTAAAGGGAAATCTACCCACACTTTATTATTCCCACAAAAATCAATCAAAGCGTGACTGAGGTTCTAACCTTTCCCTACTGTACTACTAAAATTAGTTTTTATTGCTGTCTGTGGCCATGTTGAAATGGTTTTCCTTCCATTCCAGTTGTCGCCAGGATAGGAACTACACAATAAACAACAAAAGCTTTACATACTCTTTTGAAAATTGTTTTGATTGCTCGTTGCCCCTGCTTGGGACATTTCCTAACTTCCTGTTCCTGTGGCCAGGAAAGGGAATGAGGAGATGTTACTATCCCTGTGGCCAGGAAAGGGAATGAGGAGATGTTACTGTCCCTGTGGCCAGGAAAGGGAATAAGGAGATGTTACTGTCCCTGTGGCCAGGAAAGGGAATGAGATGTTCCTCAATTGAAGGCACGTATTATACAGTGAAGTACACTCCAATCCAGCTGGTATTAGTTAGTATACTGGACTTGTTCCGTTATGTTGAAGAGGTTTCATAGCCTATCCAAGATACTTTTTTAGTTCTAATGAGTATCAGGAACATTCCCCAGCATTTATATTCAAACAGGTAGCACAGACAATATAATCCAATCACCACAGAATGTGTCAGGGCAGATGTTAATTGTCCAAAAACAAGATGGGAGATGTGAACGCAGTGGAACCACCCGGTTCTAGCTTCATAATCCCACCCTTGGTGGCTGGAAATCTGCATAGGTGCTATTCCTTTGATTCACATGGCTGAAGTCGTAAATTGAGATGTTAAAACTACATTATGTGGAAGTCAGAAGGTGTTGAAGGCCTCTACCCCTGTTCAGGGATGGTTGTTCCGGTACAATGTAAATGGCTTCTTTTACGCCTCATAAGAACCAGTTGTCTTCTTTGACCAAAATGTACACTTCACTGTCCTTGAAGAACTGCCTCGTTTTGTTAAGGTATAGGACAACTGAGCTTGACCTGTCCTGAACTGTAGAATGTATCCTACTTTAATGAAAGGAAAAACACCTATGCAGACTTCTTGACACCAACAATAGCATTATGGAACTAAAACAGGGTGATTCTACAACGTTCACACCTTCCTTCCTGTTCTTGGAAAGCAACATCTGCCTTAAATCGTTCCATAGTGATTGGATTAAGATGTTTGTGCTACTGGTGTGGACATAAATGCCGGGGCATATTCCGAGTCATATTCCTGAAGAGTCAGCCTGGATGAGTGAAACAAAACATTTTTAACATTACAAAACAAATTCAGTTGAATGTGACTAAGTACTATAAGCTACACCACGACCTGGATAAATGACACAGACGTAATCCAGTCTTCTTATCAAGTGCCTTGTGCATATAAACAACAGCCTAATGGCATAGATTAGGCAAACAATTCTCGAACGTAACTCAAAGTCATCCACACTGTGGACTCGCATACCAAAGTGTTACGTCCATATGTTAAAGTGTATAATCCTCCATATAAAAATGTAACGTTTTGAGCCACTAAACAGACTCATTTGCAAGCATGGAAGATATTGCTCTTTAACTTGCTACTGTCTGCTTGTTTTGCTCTTTAATAAAGAGCTACATGGATTGAACACTTTGGTCCTCAGTGCAAATTACTTTTTGCCACATTGGAGACCTCTAATGGAGGAAGACATATCTAGGAAAGTAACATTTCAAAACAGTAGGTAAAGGTTAGGACATCAGTCAGGTTTAATAGCTAAGTGTAGAAAGTCACCAGCACTTCAAAACATTGCGTTCACCACTTTATTTTAAAGGTATCATTACAGCTGGGAACTTTCCAGAAATAACAAGGCAATACTGCAATTTGCATCAAGTTGCTGGATCCTTACATGAATTAGTATTATCTACAGCATCCATAAGAAGAGTTTGATGGCTGGCCAATAATGCGGCTACAGGTAGCTACAGGCAGCTAGGCTCCTTCAAGGCTCTGACGTGTCATATAAGACAGATGAAGAAGAAGGACATCCTCCAGCTCTCTGCAAGTTGGACTTCTTTTGAGGCCCCTTGTGCTAACACTGGTGAGGTCTTTGCTGGGAGACTAGCTAACTGTTCAGCTGTGAGAGTTTTTTATAAAAAAAACTCTCTGCTGGGGAGCTGTTGTGGTGGGGTTCTTATGAAGAAGAGCTCTCTGCAGGGGCAGGAGGGTGGAGGTGGTGACTCAGCTGTGAGGGGGTTCTGAGGAGAAGTGCTCCACATTGAATATTGATCTGTATTTGAGCTTCTATGAAGAGCAGGAGGAAAGGCTGGATTGTTAAAAAGTGGGGTCATGGGTCCAGTATAGGAGGAAATTCCACAACGGGATACCCACCGATCCTACAGGCGCAGTGCGTGGAGAGTCAGAATAGTTTCCGCTACTGGATCCTCCAGGGTTGGCAAAGCTGTGTCTTGAATGTAGGAGGACACCCCGGCCTCCAGGACTGGGGAGGTCGGGCCTGTCTACTGTAAGTTATAAAGGGCTTCATAGAACTCTGTAAATGCCCCTCCTTAAAACGAGCCCTGGGGTCGCAGCGCTCCGTTCAGCACGTCCTTAGCCCGCCATGCTCGGCCACGCCCCCTTGATCTGTATTTTATTGTAGATTCTGGACCTATCATTTAAGCCCCCCTTCCCACACACTTTTAAGCATACCTTGGACACTCCCATCATTTGGCCCATTCCTCCTCCCCCCACCCGCTGCTCCACCCTGTATTGGCCAGGATGCTGATTGGCCAGGAAGCCGGCTTCCCAGCCAATCAGCAACGAGCCAGGCAAACAAATCTGATAATATGATGACACGACCCCCACCCTGCAGGCAAATCATTCCCCTCACTGAGATCTTTAGCAGCAGTCATTACCGTACAAGTCCCTTGGCCAGCTGGGCAGACACCGCTCTCCAAGCTCTCCCGGATCTGCCCACATCTCCTGTGTGCACAGCGCCAGAAAAGCCTGCTTTATTCTGTTAGAGGATGTCTGAATGAGAGCACTGGGCAGTCTGCACATGC